CAACAGAACAACAAACATTTCTGGAAGCCAGGGACAGTACAGTAGGCCCTCGGGTTACGTTGGAGATCCGCTCCTACGGCGCGACGTAAGTCGGAACCCACCCTCATAAGCCCCTACGTCACTCACGTGGAGCACATACACAGCAGTAATGAAGTGAAACAGTAAAAAAATTTAAGAGAAAGATAACAATTCCTGACCTTTACTGTGGTAAATAACTAATAAAAACATAAAAGCACATGTGTACATACGGTGAAATGACGGAACTTTGTTTTTTATAAATACTGTAAATGGGAGATGGCGAAATAGCCACGAAACGAGTCCGCCGTAACCCGAGGACTGTCTGTATCTGATTACCTCTGGCCTCCTAAGTGCCTAGTGTAGGTCAGAGCACACAGTGGTTGCTCAGTGAATAGTTCCTGGATGAGTTTCTTGATGGGAAGAATGAACTGACATCTCTCCCTAGAGATCATAAACTCCAGGAAGGTGGGGGGCAATGCCACCTTTCTGTCCATGTTAGTGTTTAGCACAGTTCGGAGCTGGGGCTCAAATTATTTTTTTCATGGCTTCTCTGATTAGTAAATTAAATGGGTGCATCTGCCTGCCAATCAGAGCACTTACTGTGTGCTCAGCGGAGTGCAGGGCAGGTAGCTGCCCAACAAGTGTGTCCGGTGATTTCGCTGGCCTTTCTCTCCCAACTTGCGGAGAGCCTGACGGCAGGGGCAGGGCTTAGGCATCTCTGTGGCCTCGGGGGGCCTATCACAGTGGGCGGTGCTCAAAAACATATTTGCTGAATGAATTCTGAATAAATAGTTGAATATCTCTCTCACCGGAGAGTGAGGTCCTGGAAGGAAGGAATTATAGTTGTTCGGCTCCGAGTCAAGGCCACTGCGGTCCAGATCCTGCCTCTGTAAAGCACTGGCTTTGTGAGCTTCCTTGGCTGAGCCTCAGTTTCCTTTATCTGTGAAATGGGTTTGCTGTGAGCATTTGATGAGACAGTGGGGAAAGGATAGGGAGTGTTGGCTATGACTGCACGAGTCGTCTTTCCCTCCCTCTCTCCATCCCCGGAGCCTGGCCCTGTGCAGGCCCCGAGGATGGAGGTACTGGGAGGGTGGGCTCGGCTGATGGAATTGCTGGGGGCCTCTTGCATAGATGAGTTTGACTGCCAGCCCTGCCCAAGCAACGAGTGGTCCCACAGGGGAGACACCTCCTGCTTCAAGCGGCAACTGACCTTCCTCCAGTGGCACAACGCACTAACCATCTTTGTGGTCCTACTGGCGGCCCTGGGCTTCCTCGGCACCCTGGCCATCCTGGCCATTTTCTGGAGGCACCTCCAGACGCCCATGGTCCGTTCGGCTGGGGGCCCCATGTGCTTCCTGATACTGACATCGCTGCTGGTGGCGTACCTGATGGTCCCCACGTACGTGGGGCCGCCCACGCCCGCCACGTGCCTCTGCCGCCAGACCTTCTTCACCCTCTGCTTCACCATCTGCATCTCCTGCATCGCCGTGCGCTCCTTCCAGATCGTCTACGTCTTCAAGATGGCCCGCCAACTCCCGCGCGCCTATGGCTACTGGGTCCGCTACCACGGGCCCTACGTCTTTGTGGCGGCCATCACGGCGCTCAAGGTGGCCGTGGTGACAACCAATCAGCTGATCACTGCCACCGGCCCCACCGCCCGCGCCGACCCCGGGGACCCCAAGATCATGATCCTCTCCTGCAACCCCGACTACAGCAAGGGGCTGCTGGTCAACACCAGCCTGGACCTGCTGCTCTCCGTGGTGGGCTTCAGCTTCGCCTACATGGGCAAGGAGCTGCCCACCAGCTACAACGAGGCCAAGTTCATCACCTTCTGCATGACCTTCTACTTCACCTCCTCCATCTCCCTCTGCACCTTCATGTCTGTCTACGAGGGGGTGCTGGTCACCTTCCTGGACCTTCTGGTCACTGTGCTCAACCTCCTGGGCATCAGCCTGGGCTACTTCGGCCCCAAGTGCTACCTGATCCTCTTCCACCCGGAGCGCAACACGCCGGCCTACTTCAGCAGCGTCATCCAAGGCTACACGATGGGCAGGGACTAGCGCCGCCCATGGGGCCGGAGGGCCTGGGCGCTGGGAGGTGCAGGTCGGGGGCTTGCCTGTTCATGCGATCCCTCACTGGGACCACCTCGTCCTGGCCTCTGATTGGCGTCCCCTCCAGGGTCTCTGCATCCTGGTTTCTACCCATCTAGTCACGGGCGCCTGAACATACTCACGCTTGGTTTCCTTCCCTCAAGCGGCTTAGCTTGCCAGGCACTGCCACCCCCTGGAAAAATGACCCAAGGTGACCTACTGCTGGTCTCCTAGGACCGGTCTGATTTGGCAGCCTACAGGCGCCATCTGGTGGTCACAGCGGGCATCTGCGAATTCCGGCTCATTCCCTTGGCCTGTGCTCATGGCCGGGATCTGTGGGAGGATGTGGGAGGATGTGAGAGGATGTGAGCTCACGTAATGTTGCCCGGGCATCTAGCTCCCCACGTGTCTGTGTCTCATCTCCCAGATTCCCCCAGAGCTTGGACCCAGGCTTCTGTGTTGTGTCTGAAAAATGGCTGGCACAGTGGGCGCTTCCTAAATGCTCCAGAATAAACCTCACGTGGGCGAAAGGAGTGAGTTTCCTTCTTGTTTCCAGGGGCCCCTGAGAAAGAACGTGTGGAAGCAGAGAGCCCTCCCCGTCTCTAAGACGGGAGCAGTAGCTCTTCAGCAGAGATGAGGTGTGTAAGGTGCACATGGCACCCCCAGTAAAGGCCAGCCATCGCAAATCCCCATGACCCCGGAACCATCAGGGACAAAATACAGTCGTGTTTCCTTTTTACATCCAAACGACCGTGGCATGTGCTCTGGCCCAGGGTCCTAACCCACCCCAGTGAATTCTGGGTGTTGTCCGGGTATCTGGGCCGCCTGTGTGCCCCAGAGCCGGCGTGCGCCAGGGCACAGCGGAACTTGCACACGTTGCCCTGCTGGGCGTGGCCGTGCCCTTGCTGACCACCCCCCTGGTGGGCTCCAGTGGCAGGAGGGACCCTGACTTTCTGGTCTGGGGGTCGGACCTGGCCTCTCAGAGCTCATCAGGAAGCCAGAATTTGAGCGCAGAGGCCGCCAAACTGCGGCCCAGAGGGTTCAGGGTCCAGCTCAGGTGCACCCAGCTCACTGGGGGGAGAGCAGCTGCTGGAACCGCACCTGACTCAGGCAGAAGCACGGTGCCCTGGAAAATGCGTTACCGCGTGACCTTGTGGCCTCGGAGCTCCCAGCACCAACCCTGCAGCAGCCACTCCCGCAGCTCGTTGGCAGCTGGGTGGGCAGGGCCGGCTCCTTGTCCTGGGTTGTCCTGTCACGCCTCAAGGTGGTGGGTGGCGGGCCCTTGGCTGGAATCGTCTGGGCTTTGGGGGAACAGCCTTCCATGTTGGGGCCACTTCCGCATGACGGCAAGGACAGTCCTTCTCTTCTTTGAGCCTCTTTCCAGAGCCTGGCACATAGCGTTGTGACCATGGCTGGAGCGGCTAAGTCACTGTCGGATTCTGTCCCCTCCAACCATCGCATCATTAATTCCGCTCATCTCCCACGGCCTCGGTGCTGGATGCTGAGAAATATTCAGAAACACAAAACACGTATTTGTGTCTCCAACCAATGAGGACAACAGCTAACATTTAGCACTCTCCCTAAGAAGGTTGCTACTATATCCATTCATTCCTTACAAAACTCTGGTAGCTAGGCACTGTTAGGGTCCTTAGCCTACAGATGGGGAATGAGGGTATGGGTGGGGGACCCACAGTCACGGTGGGGGCTCAGTCTCCCCACCAAGGTCCTGGGGTGCTGGGGGCCTCGGGTTTCAGGGGGGTGGCTGGTGCAGGCAGTGAGCAGAGGAGACAGCGGGGAAGCTGGCATCTGGGAAGAGTCTTGAAGGACAGAGAAGTGTTTGGAAGGCTGGGAGTTAAGAGTGGGGGGGAGAGGCAGGGACAGCAGGAGCAAAGGTGGGGTGCAAGAAGGCCAGGGTAGCTCCAGGGGAGCACGTGACTCAGGGTGGCCAGGCTATCAGAGCCGAGGTTGGAACTATAGCGGGGGTTAGACGTGAGGGACTCTGATGTGGCATCGGGACCTGTCGCCCCTGGTGGCACTGCCAGCTACTGTGCACAGGCCAGGCTTGCCCCTCTCTGGGGTCACGCTGACATGCAGGCAGTCCCCCTGTTGCAACCAGCCTCCTCTCTGGCGGGTCCTCTTCCCACAGTCCTGGGTGTGGGCCTGGCCTGGTGGGTGGGAGGCTGTGCGGAGAAGACCCCAAGGACGGTCTGGCCGGGTGCACAACCTTCCCTGTTCCCTCCACCTGCCTCCCGGGGGCCAGAGGTGCAGCTGAGGCCCGCCCGGCCCTGAGCCCCGGGGCTGCTCTGCTCCTTCTGTTCCTGGGTGAGCCTGTGTCCCGTCGCCGCCCTCGGGACCAGATTGTCAGAGGATCAGCGAGTTTTAAGCTCTTAATTCTCTTTTCCTGCAAGCTTCTGATGCCTTGGTTTAAAAATTTTTAAGCAATAATGACCTCATTTTCCTGGTTGTGCTCATGGACCGCCGTCAGAGTGAGGATCTTGAATCCCACGGCCTCAGAGGCACACACCTCCCAGAGGCGCCCTGAGCTGAGGTCTTCATCCTTTCTTGTTCCCCTCCAGTAATGGGAGGCTCACTGAGGACAGCGCCAGTTATTAGAAAACTAGAGGCCCGGTGCATGAAATTTGTGCACAGGAGGAGAGAGGGGGGCCCCTCAGTCTGGCCTTCACCCTCTCCAATCTGAGACCCCTCAGGGAACGGCCGACTGCCGGTTTGTGCCCACACTTTTAACAGATAACAGCTCCATTGTTGTTTATTGTGCTT